AAAGGAATTGGCAGATACAGAAGAATTCAATGAAATAACTTACGAGTAAGAGCCTATGGTGATGAAGGAAGAATTTTAAGAACAGCTAAGATTTTGTTAATCATATTTTAGTAAGAAAAAGTAGTGACAGGAATTTTCACAGAGCCAAAATAGTGGTAATAGTCATTTAAACAATCCCCTACCCTATGCCATTGCTTAGAATCAACAGTTACTTCTTGTGGAAACCATGGGCAAACATCTTCTAAAAACAAGAAAAATTTCTTTAAATCTTTTTTAGTTACCCTTATACCTCATGCCTCGAGGGAATCCTTGATACCCTTTTACGAACAATTCATGTTCACTTAATCCCTGTCCCATAATTTCGCTTCCCTTACCTCCTCTCATGCCTCTCTCACAGGACGGGTAATCCCGTGGCGGCAGCTCTGTGCCTGTCTCACAGGACGAATAGTCCTGCAGCTGGCAACAGTGCGAGTCTTCACTCGTGGTCCCAGACTCACGGCAACTCAATGGATGGACCGGCCGGTCACTTCTAGTGGGCAGCATTCATCATCCTTCCCCGTTCCTGGGCCCCCCGCTTGGGCACCAATTATGCCCTGGCCTGCGGGGATCTTCAATGGTGACCCTAGGAGGGGAAGAAAGAGAATGGGGGGGGGGCAGGAGGCACAAAGCAGGAAGACAAGTCGAGAATCTCCGATCAAGTCTTCATTTTATTGAAAGCATTCACAGTTTATATATAGGAACACAATGAGGGAGGGGGAGAAGTACGCATTGGGGGAGAATAACATGTTTCCAGTAAGCTGAAAGTTATCTGGTGAACAGAAACTTAGCAGGGCGGTCCCAGTAAACCAAAACCTATCCTCCCAGGGTGGGGTGAACCGAAACCTATCCTCCTAGGGTGGGGTGAACCGAAACCTATCCTCCCAGAGAGGGGCAACATGTCCAAACATGTTCTTAGAGAATTACAAAATGGCTTCAGAGAATTACAAAATGGCTTCAGCTAGGTAGAACAAGTGGCTCGGATCCCAGCATTATTGTTGTTGGTAAGTGCTGAATCACTTCCTAAGTGCTGACCACTTCGTAGGCAGACCCTCTGAGGATTTTCAGAGGCAATGAATTGCCTGGGAGGAACTTACCTATCTTTCTCCCTCAGATCAGTTTGTGGACTTAAACCACGTGTCTTTGGGTTGGCAGCACAACTCCTTACCACTACCAGCACTCCCTATCAACATAATAATGTTACCAAATTCAACACAGATCACACGGATGGCTGGTATTCCTAATTTTCAGCTCCAGAATGTCACCATGCAGTGAAAGGCTTGGCTTTGGTGTTCCTTGACCAAACAAAGAATTGAACCAGGTTGGAGACAACAGGAATGTGGACAGTCACAGAGGCAGCAGGGAGTGCACAGCAACTTCAGCCGCTCTTAAAAGCTACCGCACGGTGGTAGAGTAATCAGGGGCTTAGCAAACCCAATGGCTGGCAAAGTCATGAATGTCCACCAGAAGGCAGGCAAGGAGACGTGAGTGAAGGTGAAAGCGAAGGCAACTTATTCGTTAAAGTATATTCCAGAAGGAGGAGTGGGTCCCTCTGCAAAAGGAATGGAGTAGAATGGAGTGGAGAGGACATTGGGCTCTGAGGGGTTAGGTGTGTGTATAGCCAACGTCCGTTCTTCTGACGTGAGATCCAAGCCAGGCAGGTGAGTGGCGTTTGAGAGATGGAGTGATGTTACTGGAGGCTCCCACTCCAGTCCACTGCTGGTGATGTCACAGAGTCTCAGGCACCCTAAGTGCTAGTGAAGCTGCTTTGCGGATGCTCTTTACTGTTCACCTCAGCCCTCTGAGGCATTGGTGGCCGCATCTTCTAGACAACACTGGCATCTCCCAGCTGATTGGACTGGCCTTCACCCTCTTGTTTTCTTTATTACTTTCTATGGCCTCCATTTGTCCGCTATGGGGTTGACAAAGTCCAGCTGAAACTGCAGGGCATTTTGTGGCTTTACCTTTTATTCTCTGTGCTTTTGCCCCAAATTCTTTACCAACTGTTTAACACTTAACATTGTCACCTGAAGAGTTTAAACCCCCAGAAATCTCTTAGAAATTTAGATGATTACCACTCTAGCTTCTTCATACTGGATGTGGCCATTGTCCCCCCTGGAAGGACTCCAAATCTCCTATTTTTATCTTTGTATCTTCCTAGATGTCCTAGGTGATACATCAGGTTTTTCTAAATATACTACCAGGTTGTAAACTTGGGGCCTCTATAGAGTAGTAGTCTTGTCGTGTCAGAAAGTGTGAAGATGCCCCAGGATAGGACAGGGTTCAGATCTGTTGTTCACAGCGTACTCGACAACACCTTCAGCTCTTTTACAATATTCCGGTCTTGCATCGTAGGAGACAGTGATGACATTAATAATAGGATCAACATGCATAGACTGCATGCTGTGAAACCATCTCTAACTGGTTATGCAGCCAACAGAGCAGCTGGAAGTTCCCTTCATCTGTCCTGAGCTGTGTCACCTGTGGAAACCCAGGAGGTAGCTTAGCTCACGGGGGTGGGGGTGGGGGAGTCACAGCCCCGAGCTCATGTTTGTTTGCATCTTTGACCACATTCTGTCACCAAGAAAGAGAATTGGTTATAATACATAAATGGTAGAGGTGAAACAGGTAGGGACCAAATGGCATGCTAAAGAAAAGTCAAATAAACGTGGTGAAAGCACTGAAACTCTCCCGCAGCATGGAGTAGTGAACGCCAGATGCAGAAGAACCTGTTCAAATGTGAGTTGTATTGGTTTTCGTTTTGTGTGTATTTAACTGGTGTTCATTCTGTCCTCAAATATTTATTCTGTGGTTTTTATGGTTTAGGATAGAGCTAATGCCTAGTTTAATGTTTCCATGTATTTACAAAAGAGAATACCATGGTCAAACTCATTGCCATTGGGATTGTTTTGACTCATGTGGTCGTTAAGTCTCATTAACACACAATGACTCCATGGACAAAAGAACCAGCCTTTGCACAATCATGTGCCACCCTGACAGTCTCTGCTGTGCTCAAGCCTGGCTTACAGCCCTGCGTCAGTCCATCTCGTGGAGGGGCGTCCTTTCTTGCATTGACCTACTTTTCCCAATGTCCCTTTCCAGGGACTGGCCATCGCTGATTCCATGTCTAAAGCGTGTGAGACAAGTTTTCACCATTCTTCTATCTATGGAACAAACTGGCTGCTGTACTGCTTCCTGAACATGTTTGTTCTTTTGGCAGTCCACAGTATATTCAGTGTTCTTTGCCAGCCCCCCAATTCAAAGACTTCAATTCATAGTGACCCATTAAGTAAGATTTCCAAGACGGAAGCAGACTGCGACATCTTTCTCTCTCACGATGGTTGGTGGGTTGACCAACTAACCTTTTGGTTACCAGCTGAGCAAATAGCCACTATACTACAAGAACAGGCTTCTTAAAAAAACAATGGTAATGCAGCTTCTTTAAAAAACAATGATGATGCATTCTTTAGCTTTCAGCCACTCCGCCTTGAACATTCATCATCTTTTACCCTCTTACAGCTTACACCTAGCAAACAGAAGCTAAAGTCATATCCTGTTGTGTAGACACAGGTGGTGCCCCAGCTGCAGTGGCCCATTGCCTTACTGATCTCTGCTATTTGTTTTCATTTCATAGAAACTCCATGAAGGCCCTTAACACCAAACAAAACCTCTTGTCTCCTTGACACATTATGCCCAATTCCAAAAAGAATAATCTTAGTAAGACAACACCAACCTCGACTGTATTAAAAGGACCAGCAGCTGCTTCATCTCCAGACCCTTCTTGGTCGGAGAGAGGATGTTCTTCCGAGGGGGACCTTGGCTTTGGCTTTACATCAGAACAAGTATCATCCTAGGAAGATTAAGTAGCCAAAAGCAACATGGGAAAAATATTTGTTATCAGTTTAACAAGTTTCAGTGCAGCTTCAAGGAAGCAGAAAATTACTGTCATGTCCAGGGAGGAAATCTTGCTCACATTTGGAGCCAAGAGATTCAAGAGTTCATCTGGGACTTTCTAGAACAAGAGCAGAGGTGGTGGGTTGGGCAAAATGCAACACTGATGAAAACCCGTCAAAAACACAACCCAGGTAAGGTTTGGGGGCTTAGAGTTCATCAGGGTTATTTCTTTACTTTTATTCTGAGATGAGAAAGAGGAGACAAAACTAAATCCTTCTGCTTTTTTGTAAAAAAAAACCCCACAAAAAACCCAGTTTTTTCTCCATCATTTCTTTTAGGTGTTCCCATGTTTGTATGATGACCTTTGATTTGCATTTTTTAAGCAAAATTGATGAGTTTTGTGCTGTGGTGTTTTCTTTTTTCAAATGAAATTTTTAACCTTTAGTTACCTTGCCTAATCTTTACTAAATATTCGTGAAAGAAGCCTTTTTTTAAATTTTATTTTATTATTATTTTGTGTATGTGTACCATCAAATCAGACCTGACTGGCACAGGAGGAGATTGCTCCTCCTTTCTCCAGCAGAGCATCTGGTGGATTCAAACCATGTACTTCTGGGATTGCAGTGCAGCTTCTTGCCACTAGGCCACCAGAGCTCCCTTGAAAGAAGCCTTTTATGGTGACTTTTTTTCCCCTGGTAGATGAACAACTCATCATTCCTCTCAGCTCTACATTTTCTCTCACAGAAGCAAAGAGGAATTATCTGCGTACTGTCTTTCTTAAGTATTTTCAAAATCTGTAACACTGCCTTTGAAGTCTTAGAGAAAAATCCAAGGCGTTATTTTTCTTAAAGCATAGGTAAGTGAACAGTTGGCCTTGTGTGCTAAAGAACACAAAATATGAAATATGATCTGTCTATAACAGTACTGGGAGCTCGGGGCGCTTAGTGAGATGTGCTGCCAACCCAAAGGAACGTGGTTTGAATCCACCAGTTTCTCTGCAGAATAAAAATAGGAAAATTCTTCTGGTGTGATTTCTTGCCTCTGAAAACCTGTCGGAAGGTCAGTTATGGATCACTTCCAACCTGATGGTACGTAACACTATGTTATGGGAAAGCCCAATTTTTTTTTTTTGCATCTATTGGAAGCGATCTCAATTTTAGTGTTTTAAAAACTGACTTTTGAGTGTGTTTCATACTATTGTGTTCTGTAGCAGATGTTGCAAGCCACCAAGCCACAGAGCTCCCATACTGCACCTATATGTCCAAAAACTCCAACTGGACTGCACCGAAAGAGGACCCCTGCTCCGTGGGGCACTATTTCATCTGCCAGGCTGGTAAGTGATCAAGCTACACGCTGACAAAGCCTTACATCGTGAAAACTGGGCCTAACGGAGGAAAACACATGGACGCATTTATTACATGGTCTGTAGACTGAAGGATCACAAGGGCAGACATAGAGATACTAGTTCTTATTGTAGTAACTGGAGGGATAAACGCAGGTTGTTCCTCCAGTTCTGTGGAGCTCCCAGCTGCATATCAGGGTCACAGGTTCATTTAGTAACCGAGTGCTTTTAACTGCTGTAACAATGTAATCGCTTACAAGGATTCAGAAATAACTGTTAATGTTTCGATATTTTATTATCAACTTATTTTTTTCTATTGTGATTTTAACAAAAGTTAACAGAGAAGTTGTATTTTCATTCATTCATTGTTGAAAATTTTCCTCCATACTCCTTCCTAGTTCACTTTTAACAAAAAAATATTTATTCACTGTTGCATAATTTCCTCCCCTCCGCTCCCCCATTCCACCTTGCTGTGCACCTCTTATTCTGGACTGTTGTCTATTATGAATTTATTAAATGCCTTTCTTTCAAATAGTGCTTTGGTAGAAGTTTTTATAGAGTTTAACTGTCAAGCAAGAAATCTGGCATTTAGTGTTCTACTGCTATCCAGTTTATAAGTTGACTGTTACACATGGATAACTGAACTCTTGATCATGAGGCTAGTGAAAATTGTCTCTTTGTACAGGAGAAATACCAGTTGGAATGAACGGTGTTCTTCATTTGAGCTAGTATATAACCAGAGGGGTTCACATTCGGTAGGAGCACAGAGTTTGTACTGGGGCTTTGAACTGGATTGTTCAGAATGATCCTGCTAAGTATTTGCATTTCCACCCCACTTATTCCAAATCTCCCTTTCTACCAGGTCAACGTAAGTTTACACGTGTGCACATAATAAGACTCAGCTGGAGCTCTTGTTAAGCCGTAGGCGGACTTGGTACAGCACACCTGGAACAGAAGTACAAATTCTCTGCAGAGGGTAAAACAAAAATAAGCCAGTGCAAAACTCTCTGCCTTAGTCGCCTATTGGAAATAACACGATTGGGTGGCTTTAACAACAAATTTATAAATCCAAATTTAGGGCATCAGTTCTAAAGGAGATCTTTTAGAATCCTGTCAGCTTGCCTTTCAGTGTCTGAGGGGACTCCCTTCCTGTGGAAGTTCTCCTTTGAAAATTCTCTCCTTCAGGAAGCTGCCTGGTACCTCTTGATTACAAGATGGGCTACCACAAGTCCTCACGTGTGACCTTTGGAGCATGAGAACTGTAAAGGTGGATTCATAGAGGGCAGAGGGGAAGGCCTGAAAGTAGCCTCACGAAGTGGGGATAGGTGGAGGGAAAACCTTACGTGAGCCAGGCAGGCCACTGGATTTCTGAACCTACATAGAAGTGAGGTAGAGTCTCCTTGGCTACATCCTTTTGCTCTAACCCTGTTCAGCAGAATGTTCTCGGAAATGGATATAAGAAGGCATACGATACTAAAGAATGTTTTTGCCCACAAATTACTTTACTGGTTTTTGTTCTGTTTTGTTTCTTGGTTGATCAAGTTAAGAGTTACAGTATACAAAGACTATAATGTAATCTCTTAATCTGAATTTAATTCTCAGTTGTCTTGGTGTTGACTCAATTGATGGGCTTAAATTTGAAATGCCAACTATTTGTTGAGGTAACTATGCTCCAAAACAAAATGATTTCTACAGAATTCCTAAATTTGGAGGGCTTGGATTTAAAAAAAAATGACATAGTATTCTCTAAATTGCATTTTCTTAATAACTTTTATCTAGAAGTATGGAGCCTTTAGATTTAATTAACTTTTACATTGTCCTTCCTATAGAAGCCGTTTATGCAAAAAACAAAACAAAGTCTCTAGGACAGTGGCCACCCAAGAAAACAAAGAGAGAAGTTGTGATGCCGAAAAACAAAATTACATCAGGTAAGGTTTTATTTCTGTATCCATCCTAAAACCAGTGTAAGCAGTTGCTGCCTTAAAGGATGCACAATATGGAATTAATGCTAAAATTTTTAATCAAAGCATGTTTTCAGTATATATTTGCTGCATTCTTCATATGATGTTAATATGATAGTCTTTATATACATATTTTCTTAATAGGCCTTTAATAATCTTCTTTTCACATTTACCCATATAAAACACAAGGCTTCTTCCTCCCCCACAAAATTTTTTGTCAAAAAGAGTCTCCTGATAAAGTCTTTGCAAAGCTTTTTAGATTATAGTGTTCTCTCTCTCTTTCCTTTGAAAAATGCCTATTTGAGGAAGATGCATTAGCTTGAAATTACCTCAATCAATATTAATGTTCGAGACTTATAAATCACCTGGGCAGATTGGTGAAAGGAGAAGACACAAAAAAATTGAAAACGGAATTCGTAATTCTACTTAAGGGTGCAGCCTCACAATTCCAAATGTTAGAAGTCTTTGTAAATAAGCCCTTAAGATTTCAGTTAAAAGGACAATTCAGAAAGTGTTGTTGAGAGGTCATGACTGTATCTCCAGAACAAATAGAAAAACAGGCTTTCTGAATAGAATGTAAATAAATACGTGTCTCTTGGGGACAGGGGGCAGGGAAATGGTGGTGATAGCCTCAAATACAAGTAAAGATTGTTTATTCTATTAAAATGCTAAAGAATTCCAAAAGTTGTTCTGACTATAATTAAAACACTAAACTTATAAGGGAGACTGGGCGCTATGAGGAGAAGCGTGGCATCAGGATTGGAGGTAGACTCATCAACAGTCTGCGTTATACAGACGACACAACCCTGCTTGCTGAAACTGAGGAGGACCTGAAGCACTTGCTGCAGAAGGTCAAGGACTGCAACCTCCTATATGGATTGAAGATCAACATCAAGAAAACGAAGATTCTCACCACTGGGCTGACTGGCAGCATCATGATAGATGGTGAAGAGATGGAGATTGTTAACAGCTTCAGTTTGCGTGGCTCTACCATCAACACTCTTGGTACAAGCAGCCAGGAAATTAAAAAGATGAATTACATTGGGAAAGTCTGCTGTCATAGACCTCTCCAAAGTACTGAAGAGCAATGATGTCAGTCTGGAGACTAAGGTGAACCTGATACAGGCTATGATTAGGCATGATAGAAAGAGAGTTGATGGCCTTTAAGCTGTGGTGCTGGAGAGGAGTATTAAATATACCATGGACTGCTAGAAGAACAAACAAGTTTGTCCTGGAGAGGGTGAAGCTAAGGTGCTCCTTGGAGGCAAGGATTCTGAAGCTTCGTCTGACATACTTTGGACGTGTTAAAGGAGGGATCAGTCCCTGAGGAGAGACGTCCTGCTTGGGAGGGTAGAGGAACAGCGCAAGAGAGGAAGACCTTTGATGAGATGGATTGATTCAGTCACTGGGATAATGGGGATAGGTGTGTCAGAAACAATAAGATTGTCAAGGGACAGAGCAGGGTTTAGGGCTGTTGTACATAGGGTCGCTATGAGTCGCAGATGACTCAACAGCACATAACAGCAACAGGGTATTTGAAGGGTGAGGGTAAGGCTGTTTAATGAAGTGTAGACTTTTGTGGCATCTACAGTTCATAGTGTTTACTCTTGTCTATATTATCCCTGTCTCCCCATTATCCTCTGCTCTGGTGCTTTATTTGCAGAAACACCTAGCCACAGAATACACCATGTTATCTCCACTTCCATCTTCCCTGACTGTTACTTTTCTGGATTTAGAAGAAACGACATGTGTTAGAGAAGCCATTTGAAGCAAGGATATTATCCTTATTTCATTTAGTAGAATTTAAAGAGAAAAGACTATTTGTATATATGACAGATAAAAGCATGGTTGTCTGTGGAGATACAGAGTTGCTACTTTTGTCTCAGTTACCAGTTGTTATGTGTGGGTATGCACTGACTCCTCATTGGCCATTCAGTGAGTTTTTAGAATGTAAATTTGAGCTCTGGTAGCCTAGTGTTAATGAGCTATGCTGCCAACCCAAAGGCACACATGCTTCTCCATGATAGAAAGAAGGACCGCCTTCTAAGCCTAAATAGTTTGTTATTTACTGCTGAGAACCTGTGAGTTGACGATGCAACTACTTACCCACTAGGCTACAGAGTTCCCTCTCATTAACATACATTGTTGTTGTGATATACCCTTGAGATGGAACTGGCTCATAGTTGGCTTTCTAATGTGTTTTCAAAGACAGAAAATCACATGGGAATAAGTTGCCTGTATTTCATCCTTGGAACAGCTGATGGATTCAAACCGCTTGTCTTTGGGCTGGCAGTGCAGCTCCTTGCCACTAAACCACGAGAACTCCCTCGTTACTCTATGTTGTTGCTGTTATGTACCATCAAACTGGGATCGATTCATAGCTGACTCCTGTGAAGCAGATGGTGGATTTGAACTATTTTAACAGCTCGATTCCTTATTACTAGGCCTCCAGAGCTCCCTCATGAATATATATAGTTTATCATTGACAACACACCACAAATGGAGAATAATTACAGCAGATCACAAAAACTGGAGGGCAGCCAGCCTATGCTGAGAATCAAAACCTGAGCAAGTTGACACACTTTCCCCCCACAATTATTAACGTTATTACAGAAATCAAAAGGCTCCAATGCATGTTGGTGGTAGGATACAATCACTCAAGACAGCTTCTAAACGGTGCTTGTGACACCTCAGCCTTCAGACTCCTGATTTTAGGCCGGTGTTACAAAGCTCTTAGTCCTGCCAAGCCTTCCAGCAAGTCTAGACAAAGGCTCATAGCCCTGGTTCTATAGGGTATCAGTCCAAGTTCAGCACTTTCTCCTCATTCTCGGCTGCAACTGCTGTTCTTCTGTAGGTTCAGCTGGTGCAAGAATATCTGGTCCTGAAGGGCACATACTGCATACCTGCGTCGTCTTTGCAGGTGGTGATAGTCCCCAAATCTGCCACTGAATCTGCTCAGTTTAGTGGCAAGACCAGCCAATCCCTGTGGAAAAATGTGGCAAAGAGAAGTAAAAGCAATAGCAATAATCTGGTGATTTTTTACAAATTATAATTTTCTGACAGTATCAGATATGTCCTCTGGTTTATTAATAAAGAGCTCCCCCTTTTGGTGAAATTATGAGGTAAATATTTTTGCAGTAATGTTTATATATTGGTGACTTCGTGATTGATTTTGATTTCCTGTTTCTTTTGCACATAGAGTCCTTGAATAGTAGGAGACAAGAGGGTCAGACAGTCATGATTTCTGGAATGTCATCTCCAGAATTCTAATTGGTCAGCACATTTGTTGACAGTGAGAAATGATCACCAGAATTTCCTGGATGAAAGTACTTGCACTGTTCTTCGCCAAGAATACAGACTCTTGAAGTACAATAGGAAAGACTCAGTTTCACCTCGACTCTTGCTTGAGCTTAATCTATTGCGGTTTCTTGTTCTCTTGGCTTGTTTGTTTCTGTGTAGGAGCTCCTCCTCATTCGGCCACCTGTCACCCTCCTGGCCATGATCATTCTGTAAGTACTTAATTCCACAATACATGTGTTAGAATCTTATTTTCTCTTTTATAATGGGATGTAGCCTTCCTGCCAGAATTCTGCTCTGTGTGAAAGAAAGCTCAGGGTATAATTTTATAATAAGGAAAAGAAAGTGTTTCAATGAAGATATTTAACTGATACAAGCTTATCTTTAGTTTCAATTTTTATGTAATAATAATTTTGTTGTTGTTTGTTCAATAATTCCTTGCTTCAGTCCTAAAAGTACTTGTGACATTTTATAAAAATGTCCATCCGTATACCTGTTGCCATCAAGTCAGGCCCTCCTCAGAGTGACCTTATAGGGTTTCCAAAGTTATAAATCTTTATGAAAACATACTGTCCTGTCTTTCTTCCATATTGTGACAGATTGGTTCAAACCACTGACAGTCAAATGCTTAATAACTGCACTACCAGGACTCCTTCAATAAAACATACAATCCAGTAAGATTTTAAAAGTGAAAGAAAATAAAGGTAGAAACTGTCTAATGTGTAAAGAATATCATCGACCTTCTTACCTTGACTTTCAGCATAGAACCCTTCTAATAGATGAATAGAGATATATATTTATGTTGTTCTTGTTGTTGTTATGTGCCATCGAGTTGTAGGCGACTCATAGCGACCCTATAAACGAAAGTCCTGGGCACCTGTATAACTTCCATCCTTTCTCCAGGGTCATAGGGCTTCCAGAGGCCAGCTATTATGAAAATGGATGCCACTCCTGCTTCCAAGCTTGTTTTAATAGGGGAGCCCCACCAAACACTGTCCACCATGGGTGACTGTTATCGAGTTTTGACTCATCAGTGTTCGGCTTCACAGCAACCACGAGTTACCCCTGTACAGCAAGTGGCCATACCAGGGTGACATGACCTAGAAGAATGTTTCACCGAAGACAACAATATATAATATATTTACATTTATTTAATGTTAACTGCAAAAATAACTTTTCCTAGAAATAGTAAGAACAGGAATGAAGTGAAAATCCCCAAGTCTGTATTTCCCAAAGTACATTATACAAGATAATAACCACTACTCCTGGGTGTTTTGCCAGGAGAGAAAAAAAAATATTAAGTTTTTTTTTTACCTTTGTTTCAAGCTCTCTGTACCTTTCAGACTCCCAAGTTGAACCTTCTCATCACTAACACCCTCTAGTCATCTCCAATCTTAACCTGATCATTTGTTCCCCACTGGTCTTCTGCTCCGTCCATTCCCAACAGAACAACAGCCAGACAGACTGATCCTCAAATTGCAAATGAAATCATGTCCTTGTCCCTCAAAGCCTCCATTGTCCTTCCATCTCATTTAAGGAAAATCGAGTCCCTCTCTCACCTGCCCCACCCCATCAAGAGCTTTCTGAGCTCCTCTCTTTCTCCCTTTGTGTTTCTAACCTGCCTGTCTGAAACCAGCCCAGCAGAGTGAAAAGGTGTGGAGAAAGGATGCATCCCGATGTACTCCTTTCTTGAATCTGAACCATCACTCTGTGTGGACACCGGCTTCTTGGTAAAGGTTTCTCATGAGCATGGTCAGGTGTTCTGGGATTCCCTTTCTTCTCTACGTTAGCTATAGTTTGTTGTGATCCATACCAGCAAATGCCTGTCCATAGTCAGTAAAACACAAACAGACATTCCTCTGATCCTCTCTACTTTGAGCTGCTCAATGACTATACCTTCAGTAGTGACCATCTAATGGGATCAGATTCACCCTTTACGTGTTTTATCCCTCAGTCCAAGATGCTGTGCAATTCCGAAAATCCGTTTCCTTTGGCGCCACCAAACGTGACACAGCAGGAAGTATCAGTCTCATCCATCCCTCCCAGCCAGCCTCCCCACGTGAGCTCAGAGCTCACCAGGCCCACATTTACAACACCTGCTGAAAAGACTCTGGAAGAAAGAACTTCAAGCTCAAAGGAGAACTCACCTCCAGATATCTCCACCGCCATCCTGCAAGCTTCATTTCACCACGCCCCTGCCCAGGTAAATACAGAAGATTGACGTCACACCTGGGCGGCTTTGTGACACTGAAATAAGTACTTTTACTCTCTCCTATTATTGCAGTGTTTCAAGAACAGACAACTAACAACGTCTGCCTTAAACCCTAATTTTTAAAAAAATTTTTTTTTTCATCCATGGAAAGCATCATTAGTCATTATTTGGGTCTTGTCTTACGTGAATTAAATTCATTTCTTTGATTTCCCAACAGTTTTCATAGCTTGGACTACATTAGCTTTTGAATGTGGAAGAATTTTCCATACTTCAAGGACTGCCTGGTGCAGACTGCTCTTGAATCTCATTAAATATTGACAAAATAAATGCATGCACATAGCACATAGAGATGTTATTTTGATAATGCCATAAAATACAAACATATGTTTATACCTCTTATTTCCAGGTTTAATACACTAACACTGAGACCAATCATTGTGTAATGTTATTCATTTTCTCTATGAAACAAGTGAAAATAAATTCTGCCAATTTGCTGAAAAGCTTCTGAAAGTTATAATGGACCACTGTGATCCTTCAAATGTAATAAAGGGTTAACTATAGTTAAAAGAACATCACGAGGAGGGGGAAGTGTTGGGGTGGAGGAGAGATCCTGTGTAAGGAGCAGTGATGAACTTTGTGGTAGACCACTGTAAAAAAAAAAAGAGAGAATTGCAAGAAATAATAATTGAAAAATGACAGGTGACTAAGGAGCTGTTATCTCACTTAAGTAACTTTGTCAAAACCTTTTGTTTCAATAGGTCACAGATGAAATAGTGAAGAACTTTAGCAGGGCAATTCATGGTTTGCAAACTCACAATGAATTGCAAAAGGCTTGTGAGGGCCTCCAGAAGCTGACCACCTTCATGCCAAAATTCTCCAAGCAAACTAAGGTATGGACAGGAAGATTGGGAAGCAACACTCAAGAAAGGGGAAGCCCGTAGAAACAAAATGTACGTGAATGAAGTGATGATGTAGACAAAAGAGTGTATAAAGCATAACGTAAATGAAAGAAACACTGTTTATGAACGATTGTATGCAAAGCAATGGAAAAAAGAAAAAAGGGAGAAAGAGGGAAAGGCAAGTAAAATTCGTAATCTTGAGACTCCACGCAGAGTGTAGCACTTTAAGAGTGTAGCTGTTTTGTGGAAACACCATTTAAATACTCAAACCACAAACTTAATGCTGTCCAATTGTATAGACTTAAGCACACCCTCCAGTGGTTTTTCAAAGATTATAAATAGTACTAGGGGAGATTCCCTATCTTTCTCTCACGGAGCAGATAGTGGATTTGAACGTCCTGCCTTTGGGCTGGCAGGGCAACTTCCTGTCCACTACACCACTAGAAGCATGTGTATTTGTACTAGGGAACTTTGTTGGTCTATTCCCTGGGGAATTGGAGCCTCTCTGGTGGTTCAAATCCATCAGTGGCTCTTTGGGAGAAAAATGGGCAGTCTCCTTCAAGAGCAGTTGATTGATACCCTCAGAAACCTAGTGCAAGGGAGCTCTGGTGGCCCAGTGGCAAGAACCTGCACTGCAATCCCAGAGGTATGCAGTTCAAATCCACCAGATGCTCTGCTGAAGAAGGAGGGGCAATCTCCTCCTGTACCAGTCAGATCCGATTTGATGGTACACACACAAAAAATAAAAATTAATTAAAAAAAAAAACAAAACACAAAACCCTAGTGCAGGGTCAGCTAAGAGTCAGTTCCGGCTGGACGGCAATGCGCCTGAGTTTTTATACAAATACATTTAAATCTAAAGAATGTGGATAAATGTATAATTCTTAATTCTATTCTCAGACACATTATGCTTATTTTTGTTCGTTTATGAGATTATTATCTTTCTGCTCCATATGATAGTAGAAATCATGAAAATGAAATAGATTCATTCTTTACCATAGAGTAAAACAGGCTGAAACATACCTCACAAGCCAGTACAGTACGCTCACCATGTCTTCATTTGTTAAAACCACATCTACCAGTGTTGTTTAGCTGGCTGGTGCAACTCCTGGGACCCCAGGTGTATTAAAGAAATAAAAGTTGCCGGGGATGATGCCATCTTCACAGCTAACGTGCTTGAACCCTTATTACTGTAAGGTCCCCAGGGAAGGACAGACCCAATTAAGACCAAGAAAGATGGTTTATTGAGGAGAAGCTGCCAGGCTGGCTCTAAAGCAGAAAACCAGCCTCCACTAAAAGTTAGAGAGGGGTTTTAATATTGCCTTTCAAAGAAATTGGAGAGGAGGATGTTCACAGGTTTGTTTTTGGTTTTTTTTACAAGATCAGCAGGTGGCCTGGGGTGTGAGATAACTATCCCTAGGAAAGGAGGTAGAGAAGCTTCACATCCTCAACAGAGAGAAACAGCTGCAGCTGCTGCTTCCTGTGTTTGGATCATCTCAGTGGCCATTCTAGGAGGGGAAGCAAGAGTAGTAGCCCCGCAGCCCTAATGGTTACTGCCACGTAATTATTCATTTCTCTTTCTGCTCTTGACACCTTAGTAAATTAAAATGGTAAGGCTAGTGGTAATTTTCATTCTTCCCCAATTTCTATTCTTTGTTACTCTGTAATAAGCATTTAAACACACTCTGCGTTAGTTTGCTTGCATATTTTAATTATAGAAATAAAAGGTGTTTGTTATTTGAAAATCAGAAGTGAAAAAGCAAAAGATCTCCTGCTCTTGGTCCTTTCACCAAGCTATTCCCCAGAAGTCATCACTGCCATTAGTTTGTTATAAATTAGTGCTATAAACAGTCCATATTTCTTTTTTTCTATAAAAACATAAGGGGGTAAGTAGGTATACAGGTTGATTCTGTTTTGTTAAAATTTCTTTTTATTTCCTCTTTTTTAGATAAGAATATTAAGGAAATGGATCCTCCTTTTTAAGTATAATCTAGATACATATATGTTGTCATGAGTTGCAGGCGACTCGACAGCGCATAACAACAACATGTACATCTATCATCCATTTTTATGTTGTTGTTATGTGCTGTTGAGTTGCTTGTGATTTATAACAAGCCTGTGTACAACAGCTCTGGACCCTGATATATCCTATGGCAATTTTCTGTTTCTAACACACCTACCCTCATTATCCCTGAATCAATCAATCACCACTTGAAGACATCTTTTCTTTTTCTGTCATCTAACTCTCTGAAGCATAACAAGTAATTAAGAAGACCATGGCCTGGATTAAGCGTACCTTTGTATCTAGGCTGGCATCGTTGTTCTTCATCACTCTGGAGAGGTCCATGACAGCAGATTTTTGAAATGCAGTTTATTGTTTGATTTCCTGAATGCTGGGCCAAGAAGGCTGATTGTGGTGCCAGTCAAGCTGTACTTGCTAACAACCTCAATCTCTTCACCATCTATTATGGTGCTGCCAATTGACCCAGTGGTGAGAATCTTTGTCATCTTGATGTAGTCTTCAATCCGTATTGAAGACTACAGTCCTTTACCTTTTGCAGCAAGTGCTCCAGGTCATCTCATCTGCATATCATGGGTTGCTGGTGAGTCTTCCTCCAATCTTGATGCCACACTCCTCCTCATAAAGCCCTGCTTCCCGAATGATCTATTCTGCATACAGTTTGAAAAGGTATGAGGACAGAATGCATCCCTGACATACTCATTTCTTGATTTTGAACCATGAAGAGTTGCGTTGCTCTGTTCTGAGCACTGCTTCTTGGTCCAAGTATAGGTTTCATATAAGCACCATCAAGTGTTCTGAGATTCCCATTTTCCTCAAGGTTAGCCACAATTTATTGTCATCCACACAGTCAAATGCCTTTGCATAGTCAATGAAACACAGATAGACATTCTTCTGATACCCTCTGCTTTGTGCCTAGATCCATCTGACATTGGCAATAATGTCCCTAGTGCCACGACCTCTTCTAAACCCAACCTGTATTTCTGGTAGTTCTCTGTCAATGTACTGTTCAAGTCTTTTCTGGAAAATCTTTAGCAGAATTTTGCTAATGTATGATATTAGTGACATTGTTCAATAATTTCCACACTCTGTTGAGTCACCTTCTTTTTTGAATGGGAATAAATATGGACCTCTTCCAGTCAGTTGGCCAAGTAGTTGTCCTCCAGATTTCTTGACACAACTTGGTGAATTACTCTTTCAAAACAAAAATGGCAATATCTACAGTAGATCGGGAGCTCTGGTGACCCAAAAGCTATGACTGCCAGCTAAACTTACCAGCCACTGAAAGGGAACGGGTCATGTGATTTACAATGTCAGAAACCCAATGGAGGTCAGTTATGAGTAAGTACTGACTAGACAGTAGTGACTTTGAGGGTGGGTTTTTTTCCCAAGTCAGTGAATAGTAAGTAAATAATTTTACTAGTCTATTTTTTTTAATTTTTATTTTATTTTTTTTTTTGTGTTTGTGTGTGTGTGTACCGTCAAATCAGATCTGACAGGTACAGGAGGAGATTGTCCCTCCTTCCCCAGCAGAGCATCTGGTGGATTCGAACCGTGCACCTCTGGGATTGCAGTGCAGCTTCTTGCCACTAGGCCACCAGAGCTCCCCTTACTAGTCTGCTTTTATTTGTCTGATTTTTATTAGAACAACCAGCAGAAATAATTTGTGTTTTCAATTTCATTTCAAATTTCTCCTTCATCTCTAATTCAAATCTTTCTTGACTGATTGAGGCCTTAAAAACAAAACAACCGTGTACTCAGCCTGTCATTCATCGTTATTTTCCACCTATCTATCCAATAATCTGGTGTTGTTTCTTTAGAACAGTATATAATACAAATCTTCCCTGTATGTAACAGGAAATATTTTCCTTTTTTTCCCAAATTATAATACAGATTTTTAGGGGGAGAAAATGTAGAACTGTGTTTGTATTTTGGACTCCATGTGGTAAGGAATTGAGCTGCCAACCCAAAGGTATTGTGGTTTGAACCCACCACCTGCGCCATGGGAGAAAGATGGACAGTCTCCTCCCATGCCATTTCAAGCCTCTGAAAACCTGCTGGAGGGTCAACTATGGGTCGGTCACATCTCAACAGTACAGAACGACAATAACAATAAGTAAAACTCATAATAAGTATAAAACCGTTAACCCAGAACACGAAAGAGGCGTGTGTTTCCTTTCTGATTTTTCTAGATCATTGTCATCGATTCCCTTGTCTTCCTGAGTAAGCGGCTACAGAATATTCCGCTTCCTGACAGCTTCCTGCACGCGGAAGATTCTGTGACCGTCAGCCTCTTCAATTCCCTCAACAATGTAATTAAAGCTGGTGATGCAGGTCAGGAGAGGTCCAACTTTGATGACGAACAGGTAGGTGCAGTTTATACAACTGGCCAACTCTGGAAACTCTTGAATCTTGAGCCGTCCAGGCATCACCCCCTTTCCCTGGACTGACTTCCACAGAGAATCCAGATGAAGTGTTCATGCTGAAGAAATCACCCTGCCGTGCCTTCTCCGACTTTGCAGGAAATCAAGGCTGCCAACCAGTGGGAAGGGTTTACTAAAGTGCTGACGCATAACAGACACTCAGTAAATCATATTTGGTACTCAGTCACATGGAAACGTGCTCCACATCATTAGCCACTTAAGGAAATGGACATCAGAACCATGCTGATGGTCTAGTGGTAAAGAATCGGCCTGGTAATACCAAAGGCACGAGGCTCGAGCTCACCAGATACTTTCTAGAAGGATGAGCAGTCTCATCCTGTGTGATTTAAACCCCTGGAGAGTGAGCAATAAGTCAGTTAGACTTGATGGCAAACAAACGGAAAAAACACCATGCTGAGGGATTACTTCATACCCACTTGTTAGTTGTTCTCAAAATAACAGACAACAGCAAGTATTGGTGACCATGGGGAAAAACTTGAGCCCTTAAAAATTGTTGGTAGGAAAAAAAAAATTGTTGGTAGGAACATAAAATGATATAGCCACTTTGGAATGTAATTTAGTAGTTCCTCACAATACTAAAAATTCAATTACCATGTCATTTAGCAATCCCATTCTTTGATGTATTGCCAGGATAACTGAAGACATTTCTTCATTCAGATTTATAAACTCAAATTCAAAGTGACTTTACTAAAATAGCTAAAAAGTGAAAAAGTGGAAACACATATTCATGTTTAAATTGTGTGTTCATCTAATGGAACATTACTCAACAACAAAAAGAATTAAGTAATGATATATGCTCAAACATAAATGAACCCTGAAAACATCATGCTTAGTAAGAGAAGCCTGTCACAACAGCACACATATTGTATGAGTTCATCTGTATGAAATGTATTCAGAAGATACAAGTCCATAGAGATGGAAAATTAGACCAGTGTGTGCCCAGGGCTAAGGGAAGAGATGGGGGAATGGAGAGTGACTGCTAACAGGTACAGGTTTATCTTTAGGATGCTAAAAATGTTCTAAAGTTAGATTGTAGTGGTGGTCATACAACTCTGTGATGATACTAAAAAAACAGAAAAATTGGCTTGTTCTCTAACTGGATAAATTGTAAAAGTGAATTTCTTCACTATAAGCTGTTAAAGCATGCCTACACACACACACACACACACACACACACACACACACACACACACACACACAGAGAACACGTCTACATCAGTTACATCTTGACCTGTCCAAGAAGGCTGGCCTTCTTGGTTGATAAAGAGAATAAAGAATTTTTAGCAGATTGCAAGGACTTTCTATGGCGTTTCAAGATATTTTACAAAGACTATCACCTTTTGGTAAACTGCTTTCATTATCCGCTGCCTTTCCAGGCCCTCAAAACCATTATCTCTTTAGCATATTGTTCTGAGACTACAACTCATGTGGTATGTTCCTTTAAATGCAGGTAAAAAACATGCTGGAAATGTCCTTTCAGGCTCTTGGGGAGATCCAGAAAGCATTTATACAGCAAAATTCATCTTCTGAGTCTTCACTGACTTTGACCTCTTCTGTTGCTACTCTGATGCTGAGCAGGTAACAGTAAAAGCATTACTGCAAAATTGTGGCTCTGCTGCCTAATGCTGAAAAAACACTGGAGACGGGGCAGGATGGGAATACTGGTGTCTCCTATATAGAACATAAATTGTGTGAGAAGAGATTGTACGTCTTTCTCCCTCGGAGCAGCTAGTGGATTCAAACAAACCACATGTTTTTGAGTTGGCAGCACAACCCCTTACCCACTAGGTATCATGGCGACCCTGTGTACAACAGCCCTTAAACCCTGCTCTGTCCTGTACCAATTTTATTATCTCTGACACAAGCACCCCTATCACCCCAGTCACCGAATCAATCCATCTCATCCAGGGTCTTCCTCTCTTGTGCGGTCCTTCTATCCTCCCTCGCATGATGTCCCTCTCCAAGGACTGGTCCCACCTTGGAACATGCCCAAAGTATGTCAGACGGAGCTTCACAATCCTTGCCTCCAAGCAGCAGCCCGGCTTCACCCTCTCCAGGACGAACCTGTTAGTCTTCTTTAATTGTTCATTGCAAAGGGAACAAGGGGAGAGAATTTCATTTCAGATTTTATTTTATTATTATTAACAATATGTCAATAAAACCTACACTAGTTTAACAGTTTCTGTACCATTTAGTAATACCAGTTACATTCTTCACATTGTCTAACCATTCTCATTTCTTGGACAGCTCTATGTGTTTTGGCTTCAATTTTCCCAGCTCCAAAGGACATGCTCTGTCTGCTTCAAGTGTGTTGCATCACACCTAAACTTTATCTCATTAATACAATGAACATAACATCATTATAAGGAGCTCTAGTGGTTTAGTGGCAAGAAGCTGCACTGCAGTTCTGAAGGTGCATGGTTTGAATCCACCAGTCGCTCCGCAGGAGAAGGATGGGCAGTCTCCTCCCAGGCAATTTACTGTCTCTGAAAACCCATTGGAAGGTCAGCTGTGGGTCAGTTCCAACTCTACACTACACAGCAACACCACCACAGCGTTGATAACCTAATAACTTAATCCTGCCTCATTAATCAGAAGCAGAGTTGAAAATTTACCTCATATCACATGTTGTTGTTGTTGTTATTAAGTGCGATCAAGTTCCCTGTGACTTACAACAACCCTATGTACATACTTTTCCTGAATCCAAAGAGATGATGATGTGGTTTGTTTCCTTTGTTCTGTTGATTTGATGTGCTCTGTCAATTGATAATTTTAAACCACCCTTGCATTCCTGGAATAAATTCCACTTGATCATGTTGTAGGGTTCTTTTCATATTCTCTTGTATTCTGTAAACTAGTATTTTATTGGGAATTTTTTAATTTTTTTTTTTTATTTTGTGTGCGTGTACCGTCAAATCAGATCTGACTGGTACAGGAGGATATTGCGCCTCCTTCTCCGGCAGAGCGTCTGGTGGATTCGAACCGAGTTCCTCTGGGATTGCAGTGCAACTTCTTGCCACTAGGCCACCAGAGCTCCCCTTATTGGGAATTTTTACATCTATATTCATAAATTATATTGCCTTGTGGTTGTTTTTCTTAAAATTCTATTTTATTATTATTTTGTGTATGTGTACCGTCAAATCAGATCTGACTGGTACAGGAGGAGATTGCTCCTCCTTCTCCAGCAGAGCATCTGGCGGATTCAAACCACGTACTTCTGGGATTGCAGTGCAGCTTCTTGCCACTAGGGCACCAGAGAGAGCTCCCTTTGCCTTGTGGTTTTTTCTTGTATCTTTTCCTGTTTGGGGTATCTGGGTTATGTTTGTTTTACGGAATGAATTGGAAATTATTTTTTATTTCTCTTTTGGAAGAGTTTAAATAGAATTAGTGTCTACTCTAAATCCATGGTAGAATTCCTTAGTGAAGTTATCAGGTTCAAAATTATTTTTGTTGTTGGGAAATGTTTATTACTTAAGCTATTTTCATATTTAGAGATCTATTAAGACTTTCTATTTTCTCTAGAATAAATTTTGATGGGTTATGTGTTGCCAAAAAAAAACAAACAAAAAAAAACACAAAACCAGCAACAAAAAAACAAACCTTTTCATGAACTCTCAAGAATAAACCCTTGGACAAGTGGCGGGCCCTGCATTCATGAAGACCTTGGTTATCACTGCCCTGTCTTAGCCTGTGCACCAATAAATTGAACTTCTGGCTCTCAAAAAAAAAAAAATAAATAAACTAATCTATCTTGAAGGAAGTTCAACCAGATTGCTCCTCAGAGGCAAAGAAGGTGAAACTTCAGCTCACAAACTTTGGGCCTGCTGTCAGGAGGGGCCGGTCTGGGAAATGACATCATGCTGGGAAAGATGGCGGGTCCATGAAAGGAATGAAGACTCTCAATAAAATTGATTGACAGTGAGTGCAGCATTGGGTTTATGTGGCAGAGATGAGGGTGGCACAGTATAGGATAAGGTTCAGATCTGTTGTTTGTAAGGTTTCTGTGAATCGCAGTTGACTTGACAGCACCAACCAACGACATGTATTCTAATAATTTGTCCGTTTCATTTTGTTCATCACCTTCTGTCATAATTGTCTTTATTTTTCTTGGGTCAATTGTGATGTTCTGTCTGTGCTTTTGTATTCTAATTATTTGCAAATTTTTGCTTTTAGTCTGGTGAAAAGTATCACTTTTATTGATTTTTACGAAGAGCCAACTTCTGTGTTTAACAATTTATTCTATTGGTTTTCTGTTCTCAGTTCTATTTATCTCTGCTCTGATCTTGGTTATTTCCCTTTTTCAGACAGGCTTTAGCAACCCTGATAGTCCAACAGTTAAAATGCTTAGTTCGTAAGTAGAAGGCTGACACTGAACCCATGCATGGCGGGAAGCGAAGGCAGTTTATTTCAGGAAGCCAGAGAGGGCAGTTCCACTGTCCACTAGGGTCACTATGAGGCAGAATCGACGCAACAGCAATGGGAATGGATCGGTGCAGCCTTCAGATTTAGGCTTCACTTTAGGTTTTTTATCTTAGAGAACATATAAAAAATCTGTTTGTATTTAAAATTCTCTCCCAGTAGCCAAAACATATCAACTTTGCCTCTGAGCTCTTTCACTGTGGGAGACCCTGCACCTGTGAGGCTGGGCTTTCCGTCTGCTTCAGCTCTGGAGGAGCTCTTGGATAAACACCCGGGAGTTAACGTCCAGGTGAGTGGGACGCTCTCATCAGAATGAAACGGGGATGTTGGTGGCCAGACGGGCATTTGGATAAAAGGAATGCTTCGTGAAATGTCAGCTGACCAGACCAAGGGAAGTAACTTGTGTGCCATTCATTTCTATTTCACGCTGAGAAGCACACCAGCCTCTTAAAAATGACTCGTGAGAGAGGTTGGGCGCATTAAAACTGTGTTGTGACACGGAAGGATGACAACTTGGTTTCTTCTAGAATTTTCACTTATTCACACAGAGCCAGAAATAGCCGAATAGTCGACTCAATATACCAGCCTAGTTACAGAACTATTACATGTCTTTCAAGGATTTCCTGTTAACATCATTGCCTTACCCTGGAGAGAAGAATATTTTCTAGTAAAATAGAATTCCCAGGTATTAACATTGCTGTTGCTATTCTTGTTAAATGCCTTAAAGTCAGTTCCAACTAATAGATAAATGTCGGGTATAAGAAAGCAAACACTAGCCAATCCCACCCCATCCTGCGGTCATTGTTGGGCTTGACCCAACACTAGCCAATCCCACCCCATCCTATGGTTATTTTGGGGCTTGACCCACTGTTGTAGCCATGGTGCCAATTTTCAGCCTCATTGAGGGTCTTTCTCTTTTTCACTGACCTTTCACTTTGGCAAGTCTGATGGTCAGAAGTATGTATTTTTAATTGATTAATATCTTTAAATATATATATATATATGTATTCATTATCTGACTGTTTCTCATTTGATGTTACAATGGGAAAATATTACTTGAGATATTAGCTGGAGGACAATATCAACGTTTACTTTTACTTGTGATATCAAGTATTTATCACCCTTTGGGGGACCATTTATAGATGTGTTGTCCATTGATGTAGCTGTAATTTTTCTTTGTCTCTAGATAACAGCACTAGCTTTCAACCCCTTCAAGAATTTTGATGACAAGAACATTGTTGGAAGCATTGGGAGCGTGTTACTAAGCTCTAATCACAAACTGCTTGAAGTCCATGATTTAAAGGAAGAAATTGAGGTATGTTTTGGTTTAGGGGAGTAAAACAGAAGAGAGTGTGAATTCCCAGAGAACACAGTGGAAAGAGGCAGAACTTGAAGGAAATAATTTTATTGTTATAGCAATGCCACTATTTTGTTATTAGTTTATACTTAGAAAATTTTATAAAGAGATATCCTCTACCAGGGGAGCTCTGGTGGCCTAGTGGCAAGGAGCTGCAACTACAATTCCAGAGGCGCACGGTTCGAATCCACCAGATGCTCTGCCGGGAAAGGAGGGGCAGTCTCCTCCTGTACCAGTCAGATCTGATTTGATGGTACACTCACACAAAAACAATAAAATAAAAAAAGAGAGATATCCTCTACCGTTAAGAAAGAGTATTTTATGTCTAGACCAGTCCTCCTTAGAAAGTCATGATCTTTTCAGTTGCTTCAATATGGACCTGAAAGTTGGACAGTGAATAAGGAAAATCAAAGAACTGATGCCTTTGAATTGTGGTTTTGGAGAATGGTACTGAATATACCATGGACTGTCAAAAAGAACAAGCAGGTCTGTCTGGAAGAAGTCCAGTCAGAGTGCTCCTCAGAGGCCACAACAGCTGATCTTCCACAGGGTTTTCAGAGGCTATAAATCATACATCTTTCTTCCGGCTCGACAGTATAATTCCTTGCTCATTAGACCACTAGAGCTAGCCCCTTAAAGGCAAGGATGTTGAAATTTTCTCTCACTTACTTAAGGGTATCTTTTCAGGAGAGGCCAGACCTTGAAGAAAGACATGCTGGGAAAGATAGAGGGTCTGTGAAAGAGAGAAAGACCCTTGATGAAGTGGATTAACACAGCGACAACCACAGTGGAACTGAGCAGGGCAGAAATTATGTGGATGGGAAGGGCAGGGCAGAGTTCACATTTGTTACCCAGAGAGTTGCTCTTAGTCGAAATCAACTCACTAGCACCTAAGAACATGTTGCCTATTAATATTTAAAGAGGAAGACCTAGGAAATTTCAGTCCATGATAAACTGTTAACACTGTAAAGAAGATCAAACGGCATCAAGCGGTGCTCATCTGAATTGATTCATCAGTTATCTCTTTTCCTAGATCATACTGTGGAGAAATGCCAGCGTGGAAATCCATCCCACCAGCCTCAACCTGAGCGTAGACCGTTTTGTGATCACAGTGAACGTCACGTCCCAGGAAAAATCCCTGCTTGTGAGCGTAGAACCTGAAAGCCCTCTTTTAATCACACTCTACCTGGGCTTCCAGTATCAGCCGAACCACACTCATTTCCACCAGAGCATTACTCTTCCAAAGAATTGGGTGCAGCAGAAAGGTACGACCTCAAAAGGCGCTTGCTTGTTTCTATTTTAAGATGACCAGCTTCCTGTGCAGTTATAAGAAGTAATACAAAGAAATTCTGTATACTCTTTACCCAGTTTGTCCATAGTAATTATGTTGTATAACTAACACTATCACAACTAGATTATTTTCAAAATCCACTAACCTTATTTAGTTTTCACCAGTGTAACATGGACTCATATCTGTGTGTGCATGCAGTTCTTTGTAAACTTAACACATATGTACATTCGTGTGACCATGGAATATATTTTACAAAATGATGACTTACAGGTTGGACAGAAGAGGAAAGAACAAATAAAGGAAAATGTTAATTGTAGATCATAGCTGGAGATGATACGAGTGTTCGTGATGAAACTCTTTAAGCATTCCTCTATGATTGGAAATTTCTAATAACAAAATGTGGAGGTAAATAATCAAAATGGATAAAGTATAGTAAGAACACCCTTTGTGAAAATACCCTTGTGTTGAAAGAACATTTTCCTGCCTCTAGCCTATCACGGAACTGAGGACTTTTCTTTTCTCCTGTCAGGAGAAACACCCAGGGCTGCAGTTCTCTTGGCTGGGCTACAGTGACAGAGTTTAGTCTCCATTAACCAACAGGCCTTTTCCCAAGTCAGATGAGGCAGTCAGTCCTCTTGCTAATCTTGACCTTCACCTCGCATCACTGAGAACTGGAAGGACCATGGAGAGAGCCTTTGGTCCAGACTTCTGGTTTTACAGATGAGAAAGCTGAGGCCTTTCGCCCCTTGCTGGCAAAGCCAGGCTTACCATGGTGACTGACGTGGCTGTTCAGGGCTCTTTATCTTCATAGCCTCACTTCATCCTTGGGTTTCTTTTGTTATGAAGGCCTTCTTTCTACAGATTTAGATGCATGATTACTTCATAGTTCTAAAACGAATACTTCATTCTAACTTATTGGACTTAAGAGTTCATATGTAGAAAGAATATGCTTTATTTATTCAAACAGGAATAATTCAGAGCCCTGGACTAATGTCCTGTGTCATTTTCTTTTGAAGTAATTTGTGACTCTAGGCTTCTAATCTTCTTTTTAAAAGAAAATACGATCACAGACCCTTCAGAATAAAAGCTTGGTGGCACATAGTCAAGCATTAAACTAAAGCTTGGAGGGTTGAACCCACCGGCACCTGCATGGAAGGAAGACATGGCAGTCAGCTCCTGTTATGGTGCACAGCCTTGGAAATGCTGTGCGCAGCTCTGCTCCATCCTGTAGCGTTGCTGTGAGTTCTAGCTGACTTGATAGCAGTGAGTTTTAGGGTCCGGAAGGAAGGCTCTCAGGACTAACTCTCTGTTTTGTTCTGAGATGAGGAATACACCTGGGTGCTGACTTCCGAGAGTCTGCAGTATGGAGCGGGCACTTACTACATATCAGCTGTGCTGAACAAGAGCAAGGAGGAAGCCCAGCGGACGCCTATCCTGTTCTCAATCCTGACTGCTGCCACTCAGTGTTATTTCTGGGACAGCTACAACAGGACATGGAGGAGCAGCGGGTGCCAGGTGAGAAGCCACGACTTAGGCTTTGCCGTACCCACCGGCACTGAATCAGTTCTCACTCCCGGCCACCCCCCATGAGGTTTCCGAAGCTGTAAATCTTTACCGGGAAGAGGTTGCCCAGCAACTGGTGGCTGATTTGAACAGCTGACCTTTTGGTTAGTAGCCAACGCGTAATGCTAAAGGCACTTTCCCTAAGACATGCTTTTTTTATTCTTCTGACAGTCCATGGGATATTCAGTCATTTTCTCCAGCAACGTAATTTAAGGGCATTGATTCTTCTGTCATCCTTATTCACTGTCCAACTTCCGGTGCAGAGGAAAAAAAAAACACATTGCCGCACACTTTTAAATTGATGACCATGCTTAGAAACATTTTTTTTAGTGTGTTACTGTCATTTGTGGCAACGTGTTAAAAGAGCTTTGCTTGAATCAGGAAGCAGCCTCAGCCGGTACCACCACCAGGGCTCCTTTCAGCTTTATCCTATGCTGCCAGTTGTCTCCATGTTGCTGACACAGTTTACACTGTTCTTTCCCACCTCCAGAGTCCCTTCATTGACATCTGCCCCTTCTTTTGTGCTCTATTCCATTAAACTCAGCATCTTGATTCTAATTCCAGGTTGGGCCGCAGAGCACACTTTGGAGGACGCAGTGTCTCTGTGACCACTTGACCTACTTCGGCAGCGACTTCTTGATTGTGCCCAGGACAGTGAATGTTGAAGACACAATCAAACTGTTTCTTCGTGTGACCAACAACCCAGTAGGGGTATCGCTGCTGGCCAGTGTTTTGGGATTCTATATGATTGTAGCTGTGTGGGCTTGGAAAAAGGATCAAGCAGATAAACGGAAGGTGAGGAGAATGGCTGTAACACGTGTTGTGCGTATATGGAATATGTTGGGGAGGGAAACCACTTTTATGAGAAGAGACAATACTCTAGTATTAGATAGTATAAAATCCCAAGTGAAGTTTTCTTAAATTTCTCTTTATGTCTACTGTCTAGCAGTCTAAATATATAACTCTGTCTTCATTTTTTAATGTCTTTATGACCCTCATGTGACACATCTAAGATTAGGAGTGCACCATAAGAAAACACTTCCAAAACTTAACTAAAAGCAAATTAAAAGTTTATCACTTCATACATTGGAGACAAAAGTTATGTGTAAGTCAAATTATAATTTCATGAAGCTGCAAGAAACCCATAAAGATATTGGAGGGAGGTGTTTAAAAAAGTAAACCAACAACCAGAGAAATCCTTAGATGATAACATCTCCATTTCTCTTTTTTTAACATAAAAAATGTTTTTTTCATTGTTGCACATTTTATTCCTTCACCCCAACCCTCCCTGCAAATGTGCCCCTTGTACATTTCTTTTTTTATTATATTTGTGGGGTGTGTGTGTGTGTGTGGTGTGTGTGTGTGTGTGTGTGTGTACATACTGTCAAATCGGATCTGACTGATACAGGAGGAGATTGTCCCTCCTTCTCCAGCAAAGTATCTGGTGGATTCGAACTGCACACTTCTTGCCACTAGGCTACCAGAGCTCCCTCCCTTGTACATTTCTGATCTATGTATTTTTTTTTTCTTTCTCTCTTCTGTTTTCTTACACCTGGAAATTTGATAATACATAGTGTTCATCTCTTTGTTGCCATCAGTGGAGAGATGTCAGAGTTAATAAATAAAAATGCAGGGCACCCAGTTATATCTGAATCTCAAGTAAATCAAGGATACAGTTTTAGTACAAATACATCCCAATTGACGTAGGGTTTATGTGAGGTTGACATTTAATTGGGTGCTCTGGGTTTTATCTGGTAACCTTCCTGAGGTTGGGAGGGAGGTGGAAGGGCTAAGGGCCAGTCGAGTCGTTTCTGAGTGTTTCATATAGAGGCCTTCAGCCCTGAGAGCTTCAGCTGTCATTTCTCCCTTTCATCACTTAAGTGAGATCTTTGTTTGCCTGAAAACTACACCTCACTAAGTGTTTCCTGTTGGGTGCCGTATCTGCAATACTGATTCCTCCTGTTCTTGAACTGAAGGAATCACACCAAGTGGAGTCACTTTGTTGTTCTGCTCTTGCAGGTGAAGGTCACTGTCCTGGCTGATAACGATCCCAGCTCTCAATTCGGCTACCTCATTCAGGTCCACACTGGCTATCGGAGAAGGGCCGCTACAACAGCCAAGGTTAGTAAGATACGTGTTCTTCACACATGGTTCTGGGTTATCTGCGACAAGAAATGCACTCTTACTTGGTCATGTCTAGGTCATCAATGCTCTTTGAAAAGGCCCTCAGAGATTGAGATTTCCAAGTTGTAAATTGTCCATCTGAAGGACCTTGTACATGTAGCCAAAATTCTAAACATTTCATTCAAGTACAGTTTCCTGTATCATCACCCTTCTCCTGAGAATCATGTTAGACCTTACTAGATTTTCTTTCTTTGTCATCTGAGGTGGTTATCACCCTGTATGGCTCAGAGGGGCGGAGCGAGCCACATCACCTGTGTGACCCTCAGAAGGTCGTCTTTGAGCAAGGGGGGCTGGACGTCTTCCTGCTCACCACGCCATCCTCCCTCGGCGAGCTGCACAGCCTTCGACTCTGGCATGACAATTCTGGCAGCAGCCCCTCTTGGTAAGAACTTGTGTCGTGCCCACATGGTGCTCCTTCTTTGCAAGAGTAAATGTAAAAATCCACCATATATTTATTGACTGTGCTCAGGAGAAGTGAAGAGCATAAGATAATGGCAAGAATAGAATGGCATGTGGGCGGGCCTGGGGAGTTGGTTAACCAGTTGTCATGGACAGAGTTAGAGTGCACCGAACCTCACATATGCTAGGTCCAGATGACCGGCCCCTTACTCCGGAAATTCGGGGGTGGGGGTGAAGCAGATGATGAAATTGAAGGATAAAGATTGTTGTTTTATTGGGTTTCAGCAAAAAGAATGAATGAAAGATCTAAGTCTCAGGCGTTTGGAAGAATCAGTTGCCAAGTGTTGTCCACCTGAAAGGAAGTATGTCTGCCTAAAATTAGCAAAATAAGGCAACTCCCTCAGGCAGGCGACGCCACCAACACCTCGGCCAGTAGAGCCTGGTAGGCAGGTGCTGGCTGCTCCCACTCTGGTCAGGTCTCGGCAGAACAGCATGCACTGTGCTTCTAGTTTTATTTATACAAGTGAATAAAGGACTTTCACACTTGAGAAGATGTTCAGCATCGTTATGCAAATTAAAACCACGGTAAGATACCACTTAACACCCACAAGAATGGCCCACATAAGAAATACTGACAGAGCCAAGCTTGAGTGGGGATGGGAAGCAATTAGAATTCTCACACACAACTGGTGGGAGTGTAAACTTACACACCTATGTCACTTCAGCTTTTCTCACCCCTTATTGTCACTGGTTTATAACATTCCTAATCTTATGGATGTTGTTGTTGTGTACCACCGAGTCAGAACTGACCCATAGCTGACCCTCCAAGTGGGTTTTCAGGTGCAGTTAATCACACTGGAGGAGATTGCCCATCCTTCTTCTGCAATCTTACAGATAGTCTTTAAATATTCCTTTTTTGAGCTTGGCAGTGACTTCATGCTTCTCCGAGAGCTTATATTTGAATCCTCAGCATAGGATAGTACAAGACCAAGGTTTTATAGAACTCAATATTTTATAGTTAACAACTATATTTACTATTGTAATAAAGAATGCTTATTACAATTCTTAGAGTTGTAACTTCTAGAGCTTCATATAGACATGGTATCAAGTTTCTTTTAAAGACTAAGTCGTCCTTTGTTTTCTCTTTTGTAATTATAAAGTAATATATGCTGAATGCAAGAATCTTTGAAAACACAGTTACCTTCCATTAAAATACAATATTCCAGAAATTTTCTTTCTTAACCTATAATGGGAGCTCTGGTGGCCTAGTGGCAAGAAGCTGGGCTGCAATCCTGAAGGGACAAGGTTTGAGGCCACCAGCTGTTCCATGGGAGGATGGGCAATCTCCTCCTGTGAGTTCAGCTGCTTTTGAAAACCTGTTGGAGGGTCAGCTTTTGGTTGGTTCAGACTCCAAGGTATACAACAACAGCATATAATGAATTTGGTCTTCTGTTTTATCTATGAAGCATAGGGAATGTTAGAGTTTTCTAATACCTGTATTAGATTCTCATCTTTTTCTCATATTTGAAGGAATAAGAGAATAAAATATACACTAGAAACATAAAAAGACCATGACTAACTTTTCACTGGTCAGAAAATGAATACTTTTTTATTTTGTTGTATTTTTCTTTTATTTTACTATGTTTTTAAAGTAAGTTGTAAGAATACATGGTGCTTTTTTAGTATATGGATTTGCAATATGGATTTCTGGATTTTCTTTGATGAGTGAGAATAAGAATTCTAAAACTTTCTGCATTGGAATATCAATGATTGCTGTTGGAAGTTTTCTTTTTGTCATCACTACTATGCCAGGCTTTTACTACTATTAGAAATTAGAAGAATTGCTACATCTCAATGTGGAAGTAGATTGAAGGCACGAGAACGACCAGAGTGAAGTTGGGTTGAAGCAGTGGAAACGCAGGCAGCCACCACCTCACCATCAGCTTTATTGAACCTGGATGCCATTGAATCTTTGGTGTTTAAAAACCCTCTTAAGCATTTTTAAGTGAAAATATACTTGGAATTTTAAAAGGAAATTAAAAAAAAGTATATGACGCATTGTTATGTGCCCTTGAGTCAGGACCAACTCATAGCTGACCCTCCAGAGCTTCCTCAGAGGCCATTAGTCATTCAGGAGGAGGCTTCCTATCTTTCTCCTGCAAAGCAGTTGGTGGATTAGAACCACCTGCCCTCTGGATGGCAGCCCAACTGCTTACCACTAGGCCACCAGAGTGCCCTATGCATTAGATAGCTTTAAAATACCATGTAGTCACCTTTGGTTTTAGAGACTGCTTCAATAAGAAAGTCTCCAAAAATGTTTTCATTTTGGGAAGTCTGTAATTGCTAATTTCAACCAAAACAAGAATTTTGACTAGATAAATGATTTAATGACAATTCAACGTAGTCCCTAGGAGGGAAGCACTGTAAAAATGAAGGCGTTAGTTAATTCACTGTTCATGATGTGAATTCAAATAGGCTAAGCAATTAGAAATCTGAGAGGACAAGTTTCTATGTGAAGAAATTAGGTGATAAATGATTTTGGTTAGAAGAAGAAGAAATCTCCGAGCATCTATAGATACCACTGGGAAATCAAGGCAAAACCTCAGTCCCAAGTATGTGAAGTGTCATTAGTAGAAACATTAGGTTAATATTTTTATTAATATTCTTGACTGGTGCCTACTGCTCTAATGGGATTATCCATTTCACTGTAGGTACGTGAGCCAAGTCATTGTAAGTGACATGGTGGTTCAGAGGAAGTGGCATTTCCTGTGCAATTGCTGGCTGGCTGTGGACCTAGGGGAGTGTGAGCGTGACCGGATCTTCACGCCTGTCTCAAAGAGAGAGCTCTTTTCCTTTAGGTACTTTTGAAGAAGTGCTATTAAGAGTGACTATTAACCTGTGCCATCTTGATCAATATATTTCTTCTACTCGATACCTTTTTTCCCTGTCAAATTTGTTGAATCGATGATGCCAAGAGTTTTTCTTTTCTCCTGTAGGAAGTAAGGAGACTGTGAGAAGTCCAGTGTTATGTCCTCTTGAAAGTTATTAAGTTTATTTAAAATGCCTAAGAAGGTAGAGCTTTACCCTCATTTATCTGTATAGTTAGGCTACAAAAAAAACCAGGTTGTTTTACAAAGTGAACAATAAGCAAGGAGGAAGCCTCTAAGCATGGACCCTCAAAGCTGCTGTACCCCCAGACCCATGTGCTTTGGGCCCCACTGTTCTTCAGGATAAAAAAAAATAATTTCTTCACAACTGGACCAATAAGCCATACCATGACTAATGGCGAAGAAATTGGCGTGTTGAAGGATTTTGTTTTACTTGACTCCACAGTCAGTGTGCATGGCGGCGGCAGTCGAGAACTCAGTATTTTTTTTATTTTTATTTTTTCAGTGATTTAGTCATTGCAAATACTTCTTTTTTTATTATTATATAGCATTTCATATGGAAATTGGTACTTCAGTTCAAACTCTGGCTCCACCACTTACTCTATGTAACTTGGGTGGGTTATCCAGATTCTCTGGAGAACTCAGTATCGTGTGCTGGGTTAATCTGCAGAGGGCCTCTTTAAAGAGCCAGGATGTCACAGTGCACTGAGATGGGCCTCACCTGAGCCGTGGTGGTTTCCACTGCCTCACAAGCTTGCAGCAACTGGACATAAAAAGGGAAGGCTGAGGAAGAAGTTATGTCTTTGATTTAATATGTTGTCAAGGAATTCAGAATATATCTTGGGATTTCGAGAACAACAAAGGAACCTATTTTGGCAGAAGTGCAGCCAGAATACTCTTTGGAAGCAAGAATGGCGAGATTTCATCTCATACACTTTGAACATATCAGGTGGGACCGATTCCTGAAGAAAGACATCATGCTTCATAAAGTAGGGGGGAAAGCGCCCTGAAAACACAAACCCTTCAGTTAGATTGATATTGACATAGTGGCTGTAACAGTGAACTCAGACATAAGTACGACTGTGAGATAGTTGGTGGAGGATCAGTACTTTATTCTGCTGTTTGTAGAGTTGATGTGAGTTGCAACCAACCCAGCAGCACCTCTAAACAGCTAGGCTAAAACAGCACTATTTAACTTTAAACTCTCATATAATACAAATTATCTTTATTATAAAAACCTCTTTATTCTAAAATAACGAAAGAAAAATGCACGTTCTTTGAAAGTTGTGGAGGCCTTTAAAGATTACTCCTGTCCACGCCCTTTGACTAGAGGTGATCGCTAGCAGATGATAGGTTTCCGGGCAGCGAGCCTGTGGGCGGAGGGCTTCTTCGTCCAAGGCCCCTGCACAGTGAAATCTCCTGTCTCTTCCCTACGTGTGTCTCTCTTCAGACACCTGTTTTCCTCCATGATTGTGGAAAAGTTCACGCAGGATCATCTGTGGCTCTCGGTGATAACACGGCACCCCTGGAGCCAGTTCACCAGAGTCGAGCGGCTGTCGTGCTGCACGGCCCTGCTTCTCAGCAGCATGCTCGTCAACGTCATGTTCTGGAAGAGGAATGGCACCACGGCCACGAGAGACGCGCAGGGTGAGGACGGGCCCCGCTGTGCGTCTGCTCCGAGGATACAGTCCTCTCGCTGTGCTCTGCTCTCCTCACTCCCCAGGGTAGAAATAGAATCACACCTCCACTTGAACTTCCCTGCCCTGATATTAGCACCTTCCTGTTTCATTCGCTAATCAATGAAGCAACCTTAGGGACATATCAGGATATTTACTTCCATGATTGTTTCCTACCTTTAGATAAATTGCCAGACAGCTGCAACCTGGGAAAGAAATGAACTGACAGTTTTAGTTGTTGCTACTCAAGGTTGATGTTACCCTTTTTTGAACTTTTTTCCAGTGGATACATTTATTGTAACCTGGTCTGAAATACTTATCAGCATCCAAACAGCTGTCATCCTTTTCCCGATCAATCTTATAATTGGACATCTCTTCTCACTGATTCAAACAGAGGACCCTCCGCCTCTCTTTCCCTCCATCCAGACACTCTGCCCCTCAGACGGTGCCTCTGAGCGTCTCTCTGTCGCAAAGGTAGTTGAGGTAAGTTTGGTATCAAATTTTACATGTCAGTTACATGTTCCTTTTCCCTTTGTAGTAGAAAGAGCAAAGGAAAGGACTTCATGGAAGGCTTTCAGGGTCCTTAACCCACCAATCATTCCACAAGAGAAAGATTACAGCCTTGGGAACCCTTGGGGGCAGCTTCTCCCTAGGCTGCAGGGTCACTGAGTCCTGGTGGCACAGAGAGGCTCTGGTGATGTGTCGAGTTGCTGCAGGGTCACTGAGTCCTGGTGGCAC